AAATTGCTAATGGCTCCGTTACTCATTGAATATTCTAGGATGTATTTCATCAGGCCCAGGTGACTTGAAGACCTCTAACTTGTCTAAGTAATTTTTAACTTGTTCTTCCCCTATTTTTTCTTCTGATTCTACTTCATTTTCACTGGCCTCCACTATGTTAGTTGTCCAATTGCTGCCAACTTCTTTGTGAAAACTGGAACAAAGAAGAGCCCAATTAATAGTCAGCTCCCAATTGTGTTAGGTGTCATAAAAACTGAGAATAAAGATGGTGCTTATAAGTAAACAGTTTTTCACTTTTAAGCATAGTTCAAACTGAGCTGAGAGAAGTGGCTTGTGAGCTGAGTAATGCAGTCTTATTTGTTACAATAAACCAGTTAGCTTAATGCAAACTCTGTGTGAAGTAGCAGTACATTGAGTTAGGGAAAGCAGAGGTAACAGTCCTTCCCTTACTTTAGCCTCTGAAAGCTTTAAAATCACATTGTCAAACCTGGCCTGTGCCAACATGAAGTATGACCAAAGGGGGTCTGAAAAGTATTTTTGTTTTTAATGGTAGTCTTGCCTTCGTAGCGTGACTTCACTATGGAGAAGTGGATTTGTCTCTGAAGTGAGGGCAGCAGCAAACAGAAAAACTAATGACCGAAGAACAAAATAGAATAGGAGTATGGACACTGAATATACAGAATGAGCACTCTGACAGTGGGAAAAGGTCTCATGCACTGAGACTTTCAGGGATTTTGTTTAGATAATATTTTTTCCTAAAACTTAAGGTTTTTGCAACTCTTGTTTTTGTGACTGTGGGTCTTTTCAGTTGATGTTGGTGCCTGACAGCCCAGAGTTTAATTGAACAGCACTCTCTGGGAGGCGAATAGGTGAGTGTGTGTTTCATTTGTTACATGGTTATTGTAGCTATGTTGGTCCTAGTACATGAGAGACAAAATGGGTGAGGCAACACAATTTATTGGACTGACGTCTGTTGGTTACAGAGACGGGCTGTCAAACTAAGGAGTACTACTGCTCTTTTTCTCAGACCTGAAGAGGACCTCTGTTTAGCTCAAAAGCTTGTCTATTTCATCAACAGAAGTGGATTCAATAAAAGATATTATCTTACCCACGTTTTTTCTCTCATTTAAAAAAAAAAGTTGCTCAATTTTGTGGTTCTTTGTTAGGAATAGAGAAGACTTTCTGTGTTAGTAGCTGCCTTATCGCTTTACATACTAAGCAGGCTAAAGGAAAAGACATTCAAAGGCTTTGGGATGAATAAAGTAGGAGTGTAGTCAGAGAATTTATTTTCTCATGACAGTCTAGAACAATATATTGATCTGTAGTGAGGGCTGATCCCCATCTAATGTTTGTGGTTTGAGTAATGAAATACAAACGGTGTTGAGATTTAAAGGAAACCAGTACTACCTGGAGGCTTTCTCTGGATAAAAGGTCGTATCTCCTTTCTGTGAGGCAAGTGCTGTACTATCTGGAGGCTTTCTCTGGATAAAAGGTCGTATCTCCTTTCTGTGAGGCAATAGATCCTTCATTTCCTCTGACAAATGTTAGACATTTTGACTCTGTGATTTCCCTCCTTAAAGGGTGACCTAGAGCTGTCTGTTATTTGCCTGAAGACCAGTGATATTCTCTCTTCTATAGTACCTCTCCCCCTTCAGCAGTATGGGACAGGAAGAATAATTGTGACCCTGTGACATCTGTTCAGTACCTTGTAACCTCCCCCAGGCGTTGAGAATTGGCTTATGTATATGTAGAACACAAAAATGCATTATGCAAAATACCCCATAGAATCGTAGGGCTGGAAGAGACCTCAGGAGGTCATTGAGTTCAACCTCCTGCCCAAAGCAGGACCCACCACAACTAAATCGTCCCACCCAGGGATTTGCTGGGGACTTAAAAACCTCTAGGGATGCAGATTCTACCACCTCCCTAGGTAACCCATCCCAGTGTTTCACCACCCTCCTAGTGAAATAGTTTTTCCTTGTGTGATCTATCAGTTTAATGTTGCAGTCTGCTGGATCTGTATATCTTTTTTTTTTTTACATATATCATTCTTGTATGTGAAGTTAGAAATATAAAGTGTTTATAGTTTTAAATGTGAGGGCCATTCTTGGTGCCCTGGAAACCTACGGTGTGATCAGTTCAGTGATCTATAAATAGCCTTGTTTGTCCTGTAAACCCAAATGATGGTAGATCCTAGGGAAAACATGTGACCATGCCACCTGGTACTGTAATCCATCTTGGACCTGGTAATTTTCCATGGGAATGGGAGATGCAAAACAAAGGATTCCCACCCCAGGGGAAAGTCTGTTTAAGCAACGGGAAGCTCTTTATCTTCAAATAGCCTTTGAAACTGCCTGGCACACTCTAAGAGGGTACAAAAGAACTTTTTAGGAAGTTATAGATCCAAGTTAGAGTAAAAGATCCACTCTGATTTGAATCCTTATACCTGAAATAAGAACAGCTGTCCAAGGTAAGAATTTGTATGTAACAAGTTTCTTAGTGGATTAGAATTAACTTTCTTTTTCTGTCCATTTTAATTTAGTAACTTACTTTGATCTGACTATTTTAACTTGCGACCACTTAAATCCTACTTTTATGTACTTAATAAAAACAATTTAGTGTACTATCAAGGTGAGTGTAAATAATCGTTACTTGGGGAGAGGGGAGAACCAACCACCGTCCATGTCTCTTTCATTGATAGAGAGCTAACCTGATGAGCTTTATTTGTGTAAAACTTTTACACAGAATGAAACAGGTTTATTTGGGGTTTAATCCCATTTGGGGGGTGGTTTTCCTGGGTACTGACCCCCTTAGAAGGTCGTTTTCCTGGGTACTGACCCCCTTAGAACTGACACCTCCCAGAGCCAGACTGGTTCAGTGTCTGCTCTGCTCTGCAGGGAGGCAGCAAGCCCAACTCTGTGCCTTGTTTGTGGGGAAACCGGAGGATCTGACCTAATAGGACAGGATGGGGAGCCCCAGAGAGCAGAGAAGCAGGTGTCAATGGTTTGATCAGCACACCAGGGGGACAATCCAAAGGGACTTCTCTGATCATGCCCCTGTCCCATACCCCTTTGGAGATAAAAACACCCAGACTGAGAACCCTATGCTATAGATTGAAAGAGACATCTCTTAAAATGTATAGAAGAGTGTATGAAGCCTCGTAACCTGTAGCTATTACAAGAGTCACTCATGACCATGCTCCAGACTAGGTACATGAATGGTTAACCAGTTAACTTAACTTAGATTATATAAAAAATTTAATTTAATTTAACTGGTAAACCTCATCCTTAGCGGGTGAGGCATACCAGTTCTGATTAACCCTGCGTTTCTCAAATTTAACTTAAATTAAATTAATTTTTTAATATAATCTAACTGGTAAACCTCATCCTTAACGGGTGAGGCGTACTAGTTCTGATTAACCCTGCGTTTCTCAAACTGTGGATCATGACCCCCCAGGGGGTTGCGAGCAACTTAGAGCAGGGTTGCGGTATCACAAAGTTTGAGAACCCCTGGATTAACCAGTAGGGGCTGGAGCAACTTCCTGCCCTCTGAGGGCAGCGGGCTGCTCCAGATGGCTGGAGCAGCCCCTTTTCGTAGTGGACTTGGGCCCCCCTCCCCACTGAAGGCAGGGGTTGCTCCAGCTGGCTGGTCAGAGTAGCTCTTGCTTGCGGTAGCGGGGCCCACTCCAGACACAGAGCTGCTCCAGTTCACCCCCCGCTTGCACCCCCTTTGATTGGTTTACCAGTTAACCAATTAAACAGGATTTTATATCCCTACTCCAGACACAGCAGCGTAAACTCTGTCTGGTCACGTAATGTGGGGAGAAGGGATATAAAATATCTTGCTACTTCATGTGGAAGCTAAAAATGTAGGTCTGTATTTCACTATGATTCTGATACTACTTGAAATACTTTATACCTAAATACAGGTATTTACTGACCTGTCTGCTGTCCAATTTTAATGCTGTTACATCATATTTTAGTTTAATTTAGGTTTATAGTTCATTTACACAACATGCAGTTTCTTTTCTTTATAAATGTACACTAAAGTAATAACTCTGGTACAATAAATTGACCAGGGTATTTGAGACGTGTGCCCTTTGGATTTGTGTTTTAATAGAATGATAATTTTTCCCCCTCTTTTCATAATAATTCCATTGCATGGTCATAGTTTAGGCTAACTTAAGTAATAGGGAAGAAGAATGCTGTTGTTTAATGAGTAAGGCTTAGGGATGATGCATGTGACTGAGCAGTTCATTTTGTAAACACTGAGGAGCATTGCAAAATACCTTTTTACAATGCTTGTAATGTCGATTCAGTGGAACCAATCTGCTCTGAATCTTTTTGAATGTTCAAAATAAAGGATTTGCCATTGTGAATTCATCAAAATAACTTACTAGTGTCTGTCTGTTTTTTGTTCTGGTGTAGACATTTCTGTGCTAATATTGCCTTAGTTATGTGAATTAGGTAACCTTAACTCCTTTTCTGGCAGCTTGCATCGAACGTCTGCCTTATAGAATCATTGCTGGCCATTCTGGATTTAAGATTCCCGTGTGAATCAAAGCGGCATGTAAAGCTTGAGAAATGCAGCCACCTACCTATACCTCTTAATTTTGCTTCTTTCAACCCTGAATCGATGTTATGATATAGTTGTTTTTTAAAAAAAATTGTGGTCCCTTTTTATTTATTTTTGCCTCCAGTATGCTGCTTTCTGATTATGCATATTTCATATATGATGTGTTCATGTAGATAACATGTTTTTTTAAGAGAATTGATTGATTGTTTCCTAGATTGTACACTTCTTGAGCTGGGAACCATATTGCCTAGCACAGTGGAGCTCTGATTGTGGTTGCATTTTGGTCTCATCTCAAAGCCTCAAATCATTAATAATAATTCCGTCTCTTAATCATTGGTCTTAACTCTAGTGACTAAAGTCCACTGTCCAAACAATTACAGCACAGAAGTAACAGAACACACACTCTCCTCTCGATGCACATTTAACCTGGGTTCGACCTCCCGGAAAGGTGAGAGGGAGAAGTTAAAATCTATGCCCATGTTTTCTTATGCTTTCCTGCTCAGGTTGCCAACTGAGAATGCTAACTTAGTCTGTAGCCAAGTCAGCTATGATGCAAGCTAGTGATTTGAATAGAAATGTTTACTGTACTATTGTAATTATATTTATGGCTGGTTTATGTAAGGTAGTTTTGCAACACTTGAAATAACTCAAAAAGTTTGAGCTTTTTTTTTTTCAATGTAGCAAGAATACAAACACTGCTGAATTCTTTTTGCAAATATTTCTTCCTAGCAGGAAGAGAGGATGCAGAAGAGAGGTTGTGAGGAATTTAATGATTAACAATGATACTGTTTCCATGCAGCTATAGGAAGAGAATACATAAACTCAAACCCTTAGTCCTCAGTGAATGCATTCTGCTTTCCCACATATTATTTAACCGCTTCAACTCTAATATCCCAGCAATGCTGACTTGTAGCTGGTATGTGCTAATGGTGGAATGCCACCTAGCATAATCTTGGAGCTGCTGGAATTTAAGGAACTTTCCCGTCTGTTATCCCTTCCAGAACCATGGGAGCCGACTCCATGGGTGCTCCAGAGGAAAAAAATTACTGTGTGCTTAGCCTCCACGGGCAGCCAAGCTCCCCCACCCTGTACTTCCTATCTGCTGGTGACCCCACTAATCAACTCCTCTCCCTCCCTTCCAGCTATTCCCTGATGTGCAGGAAGCACTGGCAGCAGAGGAGGAGCAGGAAGGTGTGGAGTGGGGGTGGGGAGGGCGAGGGCTTAGGGGAAGGGATAAAATGGGGGTGAGGCTGAAGTCGGGAAAAGATGGGGCAGGGAGGGTTGCTTGGATGAAGGGGTGGATTGGGGGTGGGCCTGGGACAGAGAGGGATCACGCAAGTCCTGGATACAGAGAAAGTTGCACCTACGTCCAGAACCACCTGCTGCTGCAAGGCATGGGGAAGATCTCTGCTACTTTACCTCTTTGCTGCTGTGTGGATAGGACATGGGGTCAAAGTGGGGAAAAAAAATCTCCAATATTCTACACGTCTGCTGACGTGTGCTGTCTGCTTTTTACTCTCCTGTGAATAACTTTCTTGTCTGCATTGGGGTACTGAGTCATTTTTTCAACAGTGAGTGTTAAAAATGGAGGGTCTTTTAAACTTTATTTTGGCTCCTGCTTTGCAAATCTGTAAGCGGTGGCAAAGGCCCTGGAACTTCTGGCAGATGCAGGAAGATGTCACTTCACTAGCTTACATTGAGATGGTTATCCTGGGGAGCTTAAGCTGGCTCTCTGGGAGCACTGGCTCCAGCCTGCCCTCTCCCCATCCCCGCATTCACAGGAGCCAGTTTGTATAGAGAGCGGCCTTGAATGTGTATCTGCTCCTGCTGTCCCTCCTCCCTCGCATACCATCTCCTGCCTCTCCCCCACCACCCCAGAAGCAGCAGCAGGGAGGTGGCTTTATAAGAGCTGGCACGCACAGGGATCCAGCTTAAAAGCTGGTTCCCCACAGGCACTGGCTCCTGCCGCCCCCCCACCTTGCTGCTTCTGATCGAGGCAGTGGGGGAGAGTTGCCGTGTAACTTGGCAGGATTTGGTCTCAGAAATAGAAACCCTGATCTCTGTATGATTCTCTATTTAATGTCCTTGAACCTTTCCCCTTTGTTGCTTCCATTGTTTGTTCTCCTCCTGATGTGTGTGATCAGAATTTTTTCCATCTGAAGCACTTTTGGGGTGTGTCTAGACTACATGCCACCGTCGACGGAGGCATGTAGATTAGCCAGATCGGCAGAGGGAAATGAAGCCGCGATTAAAATAATCGCGGCTTCATTTAAATTTAAATGGCTGCCCCGCTCTGCCGATCAGCTGTTTGTCGGCAGATCGGGGCAGTCTGGATGCGACGCGCCGACAAAGAAGCCTTTCTTGATCGGCACAGGTATGCCTTGTGAAACCAGGTTTACCTGTGCCGCTCAAGAAAGGCTTCTTTGTTGGCGCGTCGCGTCCAGACTGCCCCGATCTGCCGACAAACAGCTGATTGGCAGAGCGGGGCAGCCATTTAAATTTAAATGAAGCCGCGATTATTTTAATCGCGGCTTCATTTCCCTCTGCCGATCTGGCTAATCTACATGCCTCTGTCGACGGAGGCATGTAGTTTAGACGTACCCTTGGTGTTGCTAGCTAGCAGAGGGTTGTAATGGTAAAATCGTTTCTAATGCTTCTGACAGATTAATAGCCTCTTTAAATAGAAATCCTTTGGGCCCAGGCCACATCCCTATTCTCAATAGCTGAGTTGGATTCATGGGGTGGGGATGTGAATGGTTAACCGATTAATCAATAAGTATCACCCTTAATGGGTGAGGCTTACAGGTTCCCAGTAAGAGCCAGCTGGTTGGAGCTGCCCTTTTCCATGGCAGAGGTGGGACATTATCCCCCTTTAATTGGTTAACTGGTTAAACATAATGTTTAACTGGTTAACCAATTAAATGGGATTTTACATGGGGCGGGATTGACTGGGTTTGTAGTCATGGAGCAAACCTGTGCCACAGCATCCACACTGCTACTCCTAGCACACTAATTGAAGCAGAACTTGTTTGTGTCTGTTTACCCAGGCTGGGTATCACATTTCACAACTGTAGATGTAGGCTTGAGATCTGAGAACCTGGCCTGTAGCATGCTAGAGGCCTCTGTGCTACTCTTTGGAAAGGAAGAGTAATCTTTAAAATATGCAGCCAATGAAGTGGTCTTATCCTGTTCTCTAGATAGCAGGGATAAATCAAAAGAATATACTGTGTCAAGACCCTCGAGTGCTCTACAGCAAATCGGACTTAAATTCTGTGATTGGATCTGTGAAGCACTGCAGAACTCCACTAATCTGTTGGGCAGCTCACATAAATTTTAGTCTTTATCACATTAAATATGAAAATAAATAAAAAGTATGTGCTAATTGGTCTTTAATTTGCAATATGCAATGTGTTAGGCATTTCTAATTTTCAGTGTGCTGTGTTTGATTGAAAGTATGTTGTGAGGGTGGAATCTGCAGACATTGATAACTGAGTAGGCATCAAGTAGATTTGGAGGAGAAAAGTCAGTTTTTTAAAAGGAAATGTCTTATGTGGGTAAGGTTCTCTGTGAGTATAAGCCAAACAACCAATTTGTAAAAATAGTATATCCGATAACTGGCTGAGTATCCTTGAGATAAGAGGTTGGCATATTTTGTTTCGTCTTCCCATAGTGTAATAATCTGGTGACATATGACTATACATCCTTGTTTAACATCGGTTTGATTTTTATAGCATTTTTCCTCATTTGGAAATACAGCTGCCTGTCATTTATTCCCTAAACAAGAGGGAGAAGCAAACGAAGATGACTTTCAATGCCCCTGAACATTAAATATGTGGAAGATACAACATTAAAGACACAAAGAAGCATGGTTTGAGCTGGGATTAATTTCTTCATCTTGCAAAACATTTTGTTACAACCTTAAATTTTGAAGTTCATTATTTGAAATACTCATCTCTCACTGACATCAGTGAGGTATTTTGTCCCTTACAAAGAGGTCCTTGGCACTACACTCATCTCTCTCTGACATCAGTGGGGTATTTTGTCCCTTACAAAGAGGTCCTTGGCACCTTGGGATTGATTCCCATTTGAATACAAGTCATTTATCTAAATCAAAAATGAGCAAACTGCAGGTCCTGGTGGCATAGAGATTAATATTTGGCTCCACAATAAGTTTCACATGCCTCTTAATCAGGTTCATTTCAGAAAGATGTTAAGTGTATTTTTCCCCTGGAAATAATATACTGAAAAACTTAAATGGTATAAAGTTACTCCATTTTCCAATGTGATTTTCTTCTTGATCTTTGCTTAGGTCTCTGCTTCAAATCCCCATGGAGCTGCTCTAATCTGCAATACATATGACCATCTGGTTGCTTAAAATCATAAAAAACGTGAAAGTAATGGAAGTAAACTTAGTGTAGTTTAAGGTTTAAACAAGCGTATAACTGCAGTGTTTAAAAGTAGCATGAATTACTTGAGTTGAAATTTTTTAACCCTTTAAAATGTTTTTTCTTAAACATACATTCTAATAAGAGCAACAAGAATGATTAAAGGTCTAGAGAACATGATCTATGAAGGAAGGCTGAAAGCAGTGGCGGATTTAGGGCAGGGCGAGCGGAACGGCTGCCCTGGGCCCCGCGCTTGCTGGGGCCCCGCGCATGCGCCGTGTCAAAGGAGGGGCCCCGTGAAATTTCGCTGCCTGGGGCCCCGCAGCACTCTCATCTGCCCCTGGCTGAAAGAATTGGGCTTGTTTAGTTTAGAAAAGAGAAGACAGAGGGGGGACATGATAGCAGTTTTCAGGTATCTAAAAGGGTGTCATGAGGAGGAGGGGAGAAAACTTGTTCATCTTGGCCTTTGAAGATAGAAAAAGAAGCAGTGGGCTTAAACTGCAGCAAGGGAGGTTTAGGTTGGACATTAGGAAAAAGTTCCTAACTGTCAGGGTGGTCAAACACTGGAATAAATTGCCCAGGGAGGTTGTGGAATCTCCATCTCTGGAGATATTTAAGAGTAGGTGAGATAAATGTCTATCAGGGACGGTCTAGTCCCTTCCAGTCATAATATTCTATGATTCTATAACCAATGCATTTTTTTTCTTTGTGTGAGTCTTGAGTATTTTGCTTTTAAGAGAGAGAAAGATTACTTGTAAAATGGTTATCTCCTTTTGTTTCCTACACCTTCCAGCCCTTGCCCCAGAAGTCTTTAGTTCTTTGTGTGTACATGAGCATGCAGCATACCCTGGACCCGGTGAGCTTGTGAACATGCAGTGGCAGAAACTATACATTGAGTCATCTGTGGAAGGAAAGCCCTTTAGACCATAGGTTCCCAAACTGGGGGGGGCACTCTCCTCAGGGAGGTGTGAAGAAGTTCTGGGGAGGGGGTGGGCCATCCCCCCAGTTGGATCCCTCCCCCACGAAAGAGCCTGGTCCATCTGGTAAAAAAAAAAATTCAGAA